TCAGCGTATTTTTAGTGCTTCCCCCTGCCTCATCTATTTTGGCTGAATTTTACAAGTTTAATCAGAGGTCTATCATTGTTCATTTCTAAAGGGTGTCTTTCACTTTTTCATTTTTCCTTTTGATTTTCAAGTGTTTAGAGCAATAATTTTGAATTTGTTTAGTGGATAGATTTGGGGGGCATAACTTTATTATTTTAGTTTTATTACGCTGTAGGAAGAAGTTGTGACTTACATATTTTCACATTTGATAATTTAAGATGTTCTTTGTGGCCTAATATGAAGTCAACTTTTTGTGCACGTTATGTGTATTTGAGAAGAATGTATTTTTCCTTGTTTGTACAGTACATACCTTGGATAAATTTTGTTTACTGTATTATCCATATACTCATTTACTTATTTTAGGCCTCTAAATCTGTTTTCTGGGAAAAACTTCATACTCTTTATATCAATTTGCTATATTTATGACAAATCATTTCTTCCTATATTTTTTTAAAGCAGTAGCCTCACCCGAGGATCTTTTTATTTTTTTTTCATTTCTTGTAGAGAAAGGAAGAAAAGGAGAGAAACATTTATGCAAGAGAAAAGCATAAGTTAGTTGCCTCCCCTATATGCCTGGATTAGGAATCAAACCTGCAACCTTGGCATGTGCCCTGACTGAGAATCGAACCCACAGCCTTTCAGTTACAGGATGATCTAACCAACTGAGCCACATTCGCCAGGGCCATATTTATGTTGTTTTATTTTAACATTTTGAAAATTTTCAAATTACAGAACAGTTTCAATTATACTCATGAGCATCCATACATCCTTTACCTAGTTTTCCACTTCACCAATTGTTAACATTAGGCACTCTATTTACCTATATGAACACAGATGCAAAAATGCTTCAACAAAATATTAGTAAATCAAATCCAACAATGTATAAAAATAATTACATACCATGACTAAGTGGAAATTTTTCCAGTATACAAAACTAGTTCAGCATTTGAAAACCAATTAATGTAATCTATCACATCAATGGCGTAGAAACAAAAATCATATCAATAATATCTATAGATGCAGAAAAACATTCAACAGAATCTAACACCCATTCATAATAAAAACTCACAGCAAACTAAGAGTAGGGAGGAACTTCCTCAACTTGATATAGAATATCTACAAAAAAAAATCTAGTTAACATCATACTTAATGGGGAGAAACTAGTTATTTCCAGTGAAGATGAGGAACAAGGCAGGCAAGGATGTTCACTCTCACCACTTCTACTCAAATTGTATTGGAAGTCCTAGCTAGTACAATAAAACAAAGTGCACTGATTGGGAAGGAAGGAATAAAACTTTTTGGTTGCTGATGACATGATTATGTAGAAAATTTCAAAGAATCTACAAAGAAACTCCTGGATTTAATAAGTGATTATAACAGGTATTAGGATACAAAATTAATGCAGAAAAATCATTTGCTTATATATAAGTAATGAACAATTGAAAGTTTAAATTAACAATATAGTACTGAAAAAATCTAACAAATGTACAAGATTACGTGAAGAAAATGACAAATGCAGATAAAAGATGTCAGAAGATATAAATATGGAGAGTCCACATACATGATAGGAAGACTCAATATTGTCAAGATGTCAGTCTTCCCAATGATCTAGATTTAATGCAATCGCAATCAAAATCCCAATAAATTATTTTGTGGATATTGACAAACTGATTCTAATCTGGAGTTTATATTGAACAATAAAGACCTAAAATAATTGACACAATATTGAAGGAGAGAAACAGAGTTGAAGGACTGACATTACCTGACTTCAGAACTTCTATAAAGCTATAGTAATCAAGACTGTGGTACTAGCGAAAAAGTAGACACATAAACTAATGGAACAGAATAGCTCAGAAATAGACCATACAAAAATAGTTAACTAATCTTTGACAAAGTAGCAAAGGCAGTTCAATGGAGAGTCTTTTCAACAACGATGCTGGAACATCATTAAAAAAAAAAAGAATCCAGACATACACCTTACACCTTGCACAACAATTAACTAAAATGGGTCATAGACTAAGTACAAAATACAAAATTATAAAAATCCTAGAAAATATTAGAGGGGGAAATCATAGGTGATGACTTATTTATTTGTTTATCCATCCTCACCCAAGGACATACTCATTGATGCATGAGAGAAAAGGGAAGGGAGGGAGAGAAACATTGATATGAGAGAGACATATCATATCAATAATAAGGGAGAGAAACATTGACTGGTTGCCTCTCATACATGCCCTGACCAGTGACCAAATCTGCAACCTAGATAGGTGCCTTGACTGGGAATTGAACTCACAACCTTTTGGTTCACAGGACAATGCTCCAACCAATGGAGCCACACCAACTAGGGCTGGTGAGGATTTTTTACATACAACACTGAAAACATGATCCATGAAATAAAAAATTGGTAAGTTAGACTTCATTACAATTAAAAACTTATGCTCTGAAAAAGAAAGTGTTAAGAGAATAAAAAGACAAGTCACAGACTGGGAAGAAATATTTGCAAAAGACGTACCTGATAAAGGTTTGTTAACCAAAATAAACAACTGTTAAAACTCAACAATAAGAAAACAACTTAAAAATGAGTAAAAGATATGAATAGTTAGTTTAACCAAAGGAGATATACAAATGGCAAATAAACACATGAAAAGATGCTCCACACCATATGTCATTAGGGAGTTGCAAATTGAAACAACCCAATACCACCACATACTTCTTAAAATGGCCAAAATCTAAAACTGACAACACTAAATGCTGACAAGGATGTGGAGCAACAGGAACTCTCATCACTGGTGGGAATGCAAAAATGATAGTTCCTTTGGAAGATAGTTTGATTCTTTCTTACAAAACTAAACATATTCCTACCATATGTTCCAGCAATTATGCTCCTTGGAATTTACCCCAATGAAGTGAAAACTGATACCCACACAAAAACATGTACATGAATGTTTATAGCAGCTTTACTCATAATTGCTAATACTTGGAAACAACCAAGATGTCCTTTAGTAGGTGAATGGATAAACAAACTGGTATATAACAGACAATGCAGTATTATTTAGTGATAAACAGAAATGAGATATCAAGCCAAGAAAAGGCATGGAGGAAACTTACATGTAAATTAGAAGGTGAAAGAAGCCAACTATATGACACTCCAACTCTATGACATTGTGGAAAATGAGAAACTATGGAAGCAAATAATATGATCAGTGGTTGCCAGGGGTTTGAGGAGAGGAGGGAAGGATGAATGGGTAGAACATAGGGGATTTTCATGGCAGTGCAACTATTCTGTATAGTACTGTAAAGGTAGATACATGTCATACATTTTTGTCAAAACCCCTATAATGTACAATACAAAGCTCAGACCCTAATGTAAACTATGGATTTTAGTTAACAGTGTGTCAATATTGGTTCATTAGTTATAACAAATGTTGCACTAATGCAAGATGTTAATAATAAGGGAAATTTGAGGACAGAGTGATGAGGGAGTAAACATGGAAGCTCTGTACCTTCCAAGCAATTTTTCCATAAACATAAAACTGCTAAAAAACCCCAAACAAACCAAAGCTGACTAATTAAATCAACAAATATGCTTCAGAGTATAAGTGCAAAGTTTAAAAATGTGAAGAAAAGATACTAGTTAACCATATTAATTTTAATATTTATTCAGTGTTTAAACAGTCCCTGAAACATAAAAGAATTTTTTAGCTTTGAGATAGTAATTAAAACTGTACAAATATAACCATTTCCAACAACATATATCATTTTTTAGATTTTAACATTTTTCAATAAGGAGAACTGAGTCTTTTGTACAAAAATACCATATTATTATTACAACATGCCTTTTGGATAATGTTCACAAGATGATACCAATTACATTAGCACTTACTACAAAGTCATAAAATGCATAACATTATCAGCAGTTGATAACATTGTTCTTTAAAAAGAATATACAGTACTCATGTCCAGTCCATAAAATGGCAAGTTTAGAGTTGTCATAGTCCAAAATGTCTATTTTAAATATGAATTTAGAAATAAAACTAAGACAAAAGATGTGCTAAGTGAAATCACTGCTACAGCAGCTGAATGCATTTGCTCTTCAGAGAAAATATGAAGGCCAGAGATGAGTCAATGGTCAGCAGCAACAGTGTGCTTTGTGGAAGCAGCTGACATCCCTCATCCTTATGTCTGGTAAGAGCAAGGAAACAAGTATTTTGAAAGTTCGATGAACACACATCACAGTTTTAAGAATTTTCTTGATGTGAACATGGGAGAACCTTGACATGGTTCATTTGGGAATCATCAAGCCATCCGTAGCAGCTGTATTGGTCAAAATTAAACAATCGCCTCTTTTTCCGCAAAAATGAGGTGGCATAATTCTGAAATCACTATGTTAAATATAAATTTATTTCTAAGACATCCTGCTCAAGATTGGCATTATAATTGCTTCTGTAATTTCAAAATAGAAAAACAAATGATAAATTACCATTTTTCTGCCATCGCCAAAGTGGTAGAGCCTTGGCCAAATAAGAACTGTAACTGACAGCCCATAACATCTGTGGTCTACCTAACTGCTATAAACAAAAAAACAACAAAACAAACAAAAACCTCTGAGGCCAAATGATGAAATATTAAATAGTTTATGCAAACATACAACACATGAAAACTAAAACACTAAACACTTCTGGAAACATTTTTTTGAAAAGCTTCTTGTACTTAGTATCTATTAATTCGTACATCAAATACTTCATACTTTGGCAAAAAGTTTATTCAATACTTTGTAAAGTCCTGACCATAGGTCAGTCCTACCCATATATGGGCAGCGAAGCCAATAAAATGCATTTCATTTCTAGGAAAGAAAATAGGAGATGATTTTTGCTCTTTAAAGTACCCACTATTACACAGTTCTTCCAGAACTCAGTAGGAGACGTCTGCAGACGTTTCCCAGGGGACGTTGCACCAGACTCCTACCGGTGGCCTCCGTACTTGGCCACCCAGTCTGTCCTCCCATGCACTGAGGGCACTGGCTGTGCACGGTTCACAATATTTAGATTCTTGGCTGTAGGATTGTAAGTAGGTCCTGAACATTTCCCCCGACCAGTTTTTGTGTTCCAGTTATATTCTGAAAGAAATCAGAAACAGATTAGAATTTTATTTGATAAAATTAGAGTCATTCTTTCATTTTATGAGACAGTCTGAATTTATCTTTAAAAGATTCTGAATTCAGTAGTCTCTGAGAATTTTTTTAAAATATTAAAACTAAAACTTCTAGTGTAGTATTTTGTTGACACCAATTAGAATGTTCAGTAGCTTCAGAGCCGTTATTTCTGGTTTACAGTCCCGACACTGCTACTCTTTCTTTATTTGGGTTCCTGAACTGCTCATGTTTAGGCAGGTAACACCCAACTGCAATGACCAAGTTCAAGTTCAATAGGTAATACCCACAGTGTCAGTGACTATAAAATTATACTGTAGTAACATCTAAATAATATTCAAACACAGTATAACTACAGAAGGTGTATACAGAATTGTGAATCTTGTAAAGCTCTGGCTTCATGGAACTACATAGTAGATTTCTTTTTAAACATTAAAATGTGTTTTTTAGAGTCAAGAAACTTAATTTTTTATTGAGAACAGGATGGATGATAACAGAATCCCTCTAAAAGGTAAGCTATTCCTAGGACTCCAAAGCTTTCATCACAAGGTTTGTTTTACTCATACATTTGGCTTACTAAAATTGTGTAAAATTTTAAATTGTTAAACATTCATTATCTGAACAACTTATGTTCAAGTTGCTGGAACATCTCAAATGACAAAGCAGTAAATCACTTCACGGAGAAGTTTAATATTTTTAGTCCCTCCTTCTACCCTTCTTCACTCCAAACTGTGAGCTAGGTATCAGGTATTCTATCTAGGGGGGCGTTGTTTGAGCTTTCTATTTGGGATTTAAACACCTTTTCACACTATGTGGCACTGGCATTCTTGGACTAAACTCTGAGTCAACTTTGGAATGAATCTGACCATTTTATATACTCTACCTGTGTGGTTTACCTGTTTTTTCTGTGTACTTTCAGTGTAAAATTGGGCACTTAGGAGGAAGTTATGGGAGCATGTGGGTCCTGGTGTGCTTCTATCTTGGCTTAAAGGGAACAAAGCATTAAGTGAGGAACCACCCTGGTGACAATCACTGTCTGCTGTGTAATTTGTGTGAGACAGAGAGGCCAAGAGCTCTCCCCTTGGTGGTTTGACAGGCCATTTCATCCTACTCTTAACTTGTTTAAAAATTCTCAAAGGTGAAGCCATTAAAAAGCTACCTAACAAAGGCAGGGACAAAGTATTTAAAAGGGCCAGTTAAGTGCTCCAGGAAAAGCCCTTTAGTTCTGACCAACTGGAACACAGACTGGCATCAGTCTGTTCAGTTAGCAAGCTCACCCGAGGTCCACAGGTCACAGTGGTACTGTAGACAGAGACAGCGTGTAAGAGGGTGGGAGTGGAGGGAGGAGGAAAAAAAAAGAGGCCATGAGCCCAGGTGATTCAGAGCTGCGGAAAGGAGACAGTATTAAGCTCACACTGGGCGGACAGGAGGCGCCTGGTGAGTACAAAAACAGACAAGCTTTCTTCCAGGTTATGACAACTGAAGTTGGGTCCTAAATGCATTTGAAGGAAACTCTGTCCAGACAAAGATTTGTAAAACTCAAAGAAGGAATCATTTTGCCAAAAAAGCAAAATGTTGACATTTGGGATTCTGTTCTGAAAAATAATAGTTTTAGGATTCAGGCACCCTTTGGTCAAGACACTGACAAAGTAGCCCAGATCCCATGGCAGGGCAAGAAATGCTCTTTGTGCCTCAGCTGGACCAAGCCCTGCACCTGGGCACTCCCGGAAGCCAGGCAGTCAACCTCTAATCCTTGCTGTACATTTATGGTAAAAACCTCAAGTGTCCTACCGTGGGCATTTAACTTTTGTAGAAAATGTTTGCTAACGAAAAAGGTGTTTGCCTCTAGTTAAGAATTTAATCAGTGCCACTACTATATAACTTTTAGCAAGATACCGAAAACCCCCCAAAAAACAAAACCAAAAAACCCTCTGTGAAGTGGAGATCATAATATAGGTGGGGTAAAAGCAGGTTTACAGTTGTTCGCATGGAAAATAATAAAAATGAATACTATAAGAATAAAGTTTCACATACAGCTGTAAACCTACTTTTGCAGGTTTATATCTGTTTGCATGGAAAATAATAAAAATGAATACTATAAGAATAAAGTTTCACATACAACTGTAAACCTACTTTTGCCCCACGCTGTAATATCTTCTGTAAGAGTCACTGAGAGGATTAAATGAGTTAATGTCTACAGAGCTTTTAGAACAGAGCCCCAAAGGGTGGCTGTATATGGAAGAAGTCACAGCTCAAGTCAAAGCAGGGTATGAGGAGGCATTAGGAATTCTGGGGTGAGAGATTACACAGGGAGGGAGGAAAAAATTAACTTGACTTTTTTTCCTCAAAATTTGAGAATAAAGAAAAACAGTGGAAAGGGAGAGAGACTATGAAAGAAGGGGAAATAGTTGAGTAAACATGGTAATGACTTGGTTTTATTTTCTTGTGGGAAACTATCACGTAAGTGAGAGGACTGGAAGACACATCTCTTACAGAACAGTGTTTTCCTAAGGATTTGCACTGATCACTTGTAAATGATTAATATTTACTTTTTTTTTTTACCTTTCCTCCTATCACCATCTGTAGCAAAATCTGACAAGCAGAATAAATGAAGAAAAGTTGTGAGAAAGCATTTACTTAAAAAAATGAAAACAGGAATATGCATGATAATATAATAGAATAACTAATATAAAAAGGTCTTCAGTATCTTATAAAAATATGTTTAAAAATACCCACTTTCACCTTTAAGAGCCAATACTCAGGTAACAAAATAATTTAAAACATTATGGTTTTCTGCTTTTACATTAAAAATTGATACTAAGCCATGGGTAATAAGTCATAAACCAGGCTTAAAATATTTGAGGCTTCATAAAAATTACTTCTACATGTAAGATGTTCATATATTTTGTTTCGGCAGAGAGATAATGAAGCAATTCTTTTCACAGATAAGGTAACTAAGTATTTAAGCAGCTCTACTGTAGTAAGAGATAAAAAAATTACAAGAGTTCAGCACTTTTTACAATTTTAGCTCCAATAGTGTGAGCTTTAAAGGTTGGTAACTCGAATCAGGAGTTTTACTATAAAATCCTGATTAGGATAGGCTATGAGAATACTTTTGGAGTCAACTTTTAAATTAAACTACAACTAGGTATCTTATCAAACTTCTGATTATCTGCCTTCATGGCTAGTTTAGATGTCTTAATGAAGATATCTATTTTAGATTACAATAATTTAGAGAACATTCATTGTCAGATCTGGTCAGCTCAAGTACAAGATCCTCACCCTCAATTTCAAGAGCATATCCCTAATGTGGCTGTCGTATGCCACACCACTGCAGAACAGGTGTAACACTGGACACTGAAGGAATAAACCCTGTCACCACCGGCAAAGCGAAAGCTAATGCGAATTCTGCCACAGTTGTTCTATACTCTAAAATGGAACTGGAGAAGAATGGTCTGTTAACCGATATATCACATGGTCTCAACATTTATTAAGCTTTCACTCTGTGCCAGGTACTGGGCAGGAAGCTCTGAAAAATGCATCCTCTCACATCTTACGATGTAGCACAGCACTCTGCGGAATTAGACAAACTTGAGTTTCTATCCCAGCTCCACCATTTACTAGGTGTGTGACCTCAGGTAAATTATTTAATGTCAGTTCCCTCCTCTGTAAAGAAGGTCTGCCTCATCAGGTCGTTGTGAGGATTAAATCTGTGTATATGGCAGAGAGTCACCACTTAATCAGAGGTAGCTCTTACAATCATTGGACTCTCAAACCACAGCTCTGGAATAAAACCAGGATATTTTGCCAAACCAATTAGAACTGCTATCAATAAGGCAAGACTGATTTAAAGTCTTCACTCGTGAAAAGTGACTGCAGAAACTTTAAAAAGCTCCTTTCTGATCATAATTCCCAAGAACTGTATCTGAAATTGTTCTTACCTGAAGCTGTGGCACCAAGAGGTGCTAAGTGTATCCTCTGGCCAGCTGACCCCACTTCTTTTTTGAGAAAGGAAGGAATATATCCTGACTGATTGTAAGTCGCGTAATTTCCAAGATTTCCTAGTGACGTATCACATAAAGTTTCATTGTCAGAAGGCAAATATTTTAAAGCACCAGACAGTATCATTAAATTCTACTCCTACTAATTCTAAATTCTATTTTTTTGAGCAGCTACTGTATTTCAGGCACAGCACTATGGTTTAACGAATATTCCTATTCAGTCCATATCACAGCCCTCTTAGATGCATATTATTATCCACACCTTGCTGCTCTTAGAACTTGCCCAAGTTCTCACAGTGAGGAAGTGACTGAGCTAGAGTCTGAATTCAAGGCTGAGTTCTCCCTGAACACAGCAGGTTATGACCCTGTTCCTAACATGGGGGTATTTCCTGCCAGGAAGCCCCATCCCTGCAGTGCTCTCCATGCTCGTCTTCATTCTGTAAAATCACGGTAAGTGCACTTATTTTCATAGGGCTGTTGTAGGGACTGAAGTCTTGAATGTATGCAGAGCACTGGGCACAGAATCTGGTGTTCAGCAAGTGTCAACTGTCATCCTCCTCATCCACATCACTATTAGTGAATGACCAGTCTAGGGGCAATCTACGGGTGGGGCAAAAGAGGAAAATCTAAGGCAGGAGACCAGTCAAGTCACTGCGAGATAGAGCTGAAACGAGAGATTATAAAGGTCTGAACTAACAGAGTCACAGAGGGGATGGAGAAGAGGGGAAATGAGTGGGTACAGGGGGCAGGAAGGATAGGGAAAAAGAGAAATACAGGGTCCAGCACAAATAACACCCTTTTTATTGCAAAATCTTTTATTACAGAAATCATAAGCATGTAATTCTGTAATGATATCATATTCAAGAACACTATATGACATTTTAGGTGAAATGTTCAAATTAAAACTATAAATACTAGTTTTCAGGGCCCTGTATATTTGACCTATCGGTGACTAACAACGACATGATGAGACCCAGGTTTGGGGAAAGATAGGGTGCCTGTGGGATATTCAGGTCACAGAGGTGGAGCAGGCTGGGAGACGGAAGGGTCAGGCACAGTGGTCAGGGGCTGCGGGTTTGGAGGAGTGATCTCAGAGGGACCGCAAGATGAGCTAAGACCATGAAGAGAACCCCAGAGAATACCAGCATAAGGGAAATGAAAGGACCCAGTGGGGCAGAGAGAACAGAAAGGTAGATGGTAAAAAAGGGTCTGAAAATTCAAGAGAATACAATGTGTGAAGACAGAAGGAATAACAAATGAGGCAGAGGCCTGGAGGAGCTGGCATTGCTCACTGGATCTGGCCGCTAGGATGATGCCAGGACTTTGCAGAAGCGGTTTCAATAGCCTGGGGATAAATCACAGTGAGCTGAGCAACCTGGAAATGTGAGGAAAAATGAATACAACTGCTCTTTCAAGGAGCCTAGCTATGCTGGAAAGAAGACAAGTTTGTAAGAGAAAAGGTTACACAGTGCTGATAGCCTTGGTGGCTTCAAAGACCTCTTCACCTGGTAGCTACCACCGAAGCATTTTTTAAATGTTATTAGTTACCAAGTCTGGATTCTGTCTGTCTGAATCCTTGATGTCTGTCATAGTGCTATGCATAGTAGGCCCTCAATAAGTGTTTGCTCTTGAACCAACGAATGTCAAACAATAATATTACTTGTCAGACCTTAATGGATTTTACACAGTAAATTACGTTATTAGTTTATACAATTTTTAACACCGATTTTGTATAAGTACAGCTTTGAATTTGACCTATCTTTTCCCTCCAGTACTCATTTTAAGTCACAAATCAGTCCTTTTCTTCAAGACTTTTTGAAAGGAAGTTGAAGGCAGTGTTCACATTCAGTGGCAACTTCAGATCATCTCTCTTGCTCTCATCCTCATCATCAGAGCAAACACTTATTCAATGCTTACTGTTGGACCAAAATCCCAGGAATGGTTATATAATACTACCCAGGTAAATATGATTTCCTCCATTTTATAGATAGTAAAACTGACTTAGGGGGCCTATATAACTCGCCCAAAGTCGCAAGGCTAGTGAGCAGCAGAATGGGATATGTCGGACTCTAAAAGCCATGCACCAAACAGTTCTAGGAGGCTCCTTCCTATTGGAGAAAGAAGCTGCTAAGGCAAAATATGTAGAAAGTGAAGTCTTCTTAAATTACTTTGGCTTGCCATTTGAAGTACCTTGTGAGTTGCAAATTTTCAGGTTGGAGCCAACAGCCCGCACTGTTTGAAGCAGCAACACCAAATCTCTAGGAAATCCACTGTTTCTGTTAACCTGGGTAACTTTGTTTTTAAATGATTGTTGATGCTTAAAAAATAAGTTTCAGAACTTCAAAAAAAAATTCCAGGAATATCTATTACAAAATTAGAAAATATCCTTTTCAACAGATTTACTTTATTTGTATAATTGTCATTATTAATTTAAGAAGACATTAGTCTTAGCATGCCAACTACTGACGAAAGATGTTCTTGGTGTGGAATGCGTCTCTCCTAGACCGATAAGACTCCTAAAAGCAGGGGACCGTGGCCTTCTTAAAGGCCTTGTATGACAAGACTTGGGGAAAATGTTGAGAAGACTGAACAAGAGATTCAAAGAACAAGCTGTATTCATCTATAATGCCCAGAAATTACCTTGTGGGTCCTCTAATTTTTCAGGAAAACTCTCATTACATGATAGTTTTTCAATTGGTTCAATTATGCTTTCTTCTAAAGAGAAGGCAGATGGGAAAGAAAGAGTAATAGGGAGAATATTTTAAGAAAAGCAGAGCAAAATAGATTAGATGATTAGTGAAAAGATCTGGAAAGAACTCTTTATATTAAAAAACTTACATGTTCTCACAGCTTTCATTTGGTGTCAATCTTTCATTCCCCTGAGACTCAAAGTTGTAGTGCTATCATTTAAACTGATTTGTATTTAATGAGTTGTATTTAATCAGTAAATATTATTTTTAAAAAACTGAGGAAGAATAAGTCAATTACAGTGCCGCAGTGTTTGCTATCTCTCCAATTAGTGTATGGATAAGCTGAGTCTTCAACATGTCTGGAAAACTTGCAAAATGCCCGAAGTGTGTGGATGTCACCTCACAATTACTCAATTGCTAGAGAGTAATCCTCAAACATTTTTGATCAAAAACCACATATATTTTTTTAAATAACTCTTTTCTTCTTCACACACTTTAAGCTGATATCTAAAATTTTTCATCATAGGTTTTACAGTTCCAAAAGATTTCTGGCATAATGTAATTATAGACATTTAAAAATAAAACTATTACATTTCTTTAAATATAACCAATGGAGTCTAAATACCATAATGATTTCTTCATTTAAAATTTTTGTTTATTCATTTTAGAGAGAGGGTGGGAAGGGAGAGAGAGAAACATCTCTTAGTTATTGCATTTATTTACACATTCATTGGTTGCTTTTTTATGTGCTCTGGCCACAGATCAAATGCACAACCTTGGCATTTCAGAATGATGCTCTGACCAACAGAGTGCCTGGCCAGGGCCATTGTGATTTTATAGCTACCAATATTGACCTAAGAAACACATGAACAGGTTTTATTTTTAACAGATGCAAATTTCGTAATCCTTTTCTCTGTAGAATTTTACTTTCATTCAAAATTTAATTCCCAAATAATTATTTTAGGCCTAAAAGTCTAAACTGATCACTCAAAACATGTAAATTGAAACCTTAAAAAAATTTCTTGTAACCATAAGCACAGTAAAGTACTCTTTTCTGGATTAACTTAGGTATAATTACAATGATTCATTGTATATAATTAATCAAAAAATGAGCATCTAAATTTTGATTACACAGGAAAAGTTATTTGGGGGAGGGAATTCATCTATTAATGAGAAAGATGGGACCTTTTTCAAGTAGTTCATGTAACTGCAAATGATATTACTTATTTCTAAAATCAGACAGTGTTCAACATCAATTCTATTGCTTCTTTAATTCTTAAAAAAATTTTTTAACTCCTCTCCTTTATTCCCCTCCACATGCACTGCCCCATCCACCAGCATTCCTCCCACTTTAGTTCATGTCCATGGGTCGTACATATAAATTCTTTGGCTTCTCCATCTCCTATACTCTTCTTAAGCGCCGCCCTCCCCCGTCTATTTTGTATCTACTCTATGTGCTGCTTATTTATTGTACATTTTCCCCAATTCTTCCCCCTCATCCTCCCCTCTGATCTCCATTTCTATGGTTCTGTTCCTGTTCTAGTTGTTTGCTTAGTTTGATTTTATTTTTTTAGGTACAGATGTTGAGAGTTGTGAGTTTATTGTCATTTTACTGTTCATAGCTTTTGATCATCTTCTTTTTCTTAGATAAGTCCCTTTAACATTTCATATAGTAAGGGCTGGTGATAATGAACTCCTTTAACTTTACCTTATCTGGGAAGCACTTTATCTGTCTTTCCATTCTAAATGATAGCTTTGCTGGATAGAGTAATCTTGGGTGTAGATACTTGCTTTTCATGACTTTGAATACTTCTTTACAGCCCCTTCTTGCCTGCAAGGTTTCTTTTGAGAAATCAGCTGATAGTCTTATGGGAACTCTTTTGCAGGTAACTGTCTCCTTTTCTCTTGCTGCTTTTAAAATTCTCTCCTTATCTTTAATCTTGGGTAACTTAATTATGATGTGCCTTGGTGTATGCCTCCTTGAGTCCAACTCCTTCGGGACTCTCTGAGCTTCCTGGATCTCCTGGAAGTCTATGTCCTTGGCCAGATTGGGGAAGTTCTCCTTCATTATTTGTTAAATGACTTTTCAATTTCTTGCTCTTCCTCTTCGCCTGGCACCCCTATAATTCAGATGTTGGAATGTTTAAAGTTGTCCCAGAGGTTCCTAAGCCTCTCCTCATTTTTTTTGAATTCTTGTTTCTTCATTCTGTTCTGGTTGAATGTTTGTCTCTTCCTTCTGTCCCAAATTGTTGATTTGAGTCCCAGTTTCCTTCCCTGTATTGTTGGTTCCCTGTATATTTTTCATTTCACTTTGCATAGCCTTCACTTTTTCCTCCATTTTGCAACCATACTCAACCAATTCAGTGAGCATCCAGATTACCAGTGTTTTGAACTGTGCATCTGATAGGTTGGTTATCTGTTCATTGCTTAGTTCTATTTTTTGGAGCTTTGATCTGTTCTTTCATTTGGGCCATATTTCCTTGTCTCGTCATGCCTGTTATGTGGGAGGGACAGAGCCTCAGGTATTTGCCAGGGTGAGGCAACCCAGGTCTCTGCGCTGTGATGCTGTGTTGGGGAGGGGACTGAGAGGGAACAATGCCACTTGCTTGGCTCTTGGCCAGCTTTCAGTCACTTCCCCCACTACCCACAAGCAAATTGGGCTGTTCTAGTGCTGATTACCGGGTGGGTAGGTTTGTGTATGTTCTAGGACCCTGTGGGTCTCTCCAACGGACTCTCCCGTGAGGCTGGGAGTTTCTTCTGTTGCCACAACCCTAAGAGGACTTTACCTCCAGAGGTGTTGAGGCTTTCTTTTCCCGTACTGGAACCCTGGATTGCACAGTCTGTCTCGCTCCCTAGCTATTCCCCCACTTTATCTGCATGTGAATGTGGGACTGCCCATACCGCTAGCTGCTGCCTCACCCACCCAGTCCTCCAGCCGCTGCCTTGCCATGCGGCTCTCTGCCCCGGCTGCCCATCTCCACCCCTCCTACCAGACTGGATGAATGTTTCTTCTTTAATTCTTGTTTGTCGGACTTCCATACACTTCGATTTCCTTGCAGTTCTGGTTATTTTTGTTTTTAAATTTGCTGTTGTCCTTTTTTTGTTTGTGCAAGGAGGCAAAATGTATCTACCTATGCCTCCATCTTGGTCAGAAGTCTTGCTTTTTATTTATTTATTTATTTATTTATTTATTTTCATTTTTAAAGATAGAAGCACTGGAAGACCTTGTGAATGTACATAAATAATTAGGAACAAAAGATGTTTCATTACAGCTTTATCACTTTAGTTTTTGTACTCTATTAGAAGTTACAGACCTAAATTCATATAGTGATGTCATGAAAAGTGATTTTTAATTATCTGCCAGCTAATAATGCAATTCGGTTCTCCTTCAATTTTTTTGAATGTTAAGAACTGGAAACCACTTCCCTTAAAAAGCATTTGTTCCCCAATCACTTTCTCAATACTGACACCAAAATAATAAAACTATCCCTTCATAGGCAACCAGGTATTTTTACCCTTTGGGGAAACAGGAAACACACCATAGTAAACAGTGAGAAGTCTTCTTTTCTTTTGTAAGGTAAGAGAACAGAAACTCTTGTTCAGGCAAATTCATTTTAGGAGACAATCCATATGGAACCTGAGATATGGCAAATGATTCCCTTAAAACTATCTGTGCTCAAGTACCAGTTGGAAAACCTTTGTGTTCCCCCAAAGGTATCTTGGTTGAAAGGATGCAGCTGCAATATATTTAAAAGTAAAGATCTGTAGAAGAAAAACAATGAAAATTTATGCTTTAAATGAATTCTTGCTTTACCTGCTTTACTCCTTTTGAAAGCAAGTTCTGCACCAATGGGTCCCAATGACTTGGGAAATAACTGATTATTCCAAGTATATGCATTCATATTCTTTCCACTGGCTATCAAGGACACATTCTTAGGATTTACACCTTGGAAGAACAAAACAGTCATTTCAAAGTTTACAGTGTGATCATAAAGTAAAGGAAACATATATTTATTACACATGCAAGCAAAGATTAGAAATGAGGCAGGAGAATGGAAATAACTTTTGGTTACAGGGTAATAAATACTTGCTTTTTTATGAATCCTATTGTGCTCCTAAGTCCTGAGCACAATAACCTGAAGTCCTCCCACTGTATTTTTTACATACAAGATATTTTCTCTAACACAAGTGATAATTACACATTGGATATGTCTTGCTAAGTGTCTGGTAAAAATTAAGGTGGAACAAAAATGTTCTTCAAAAAGATATGTCCAAGTCATTCACTTATTTTGAGTGTGAACTCTGTGCCAGACCCTTGAGGAACACTTAGTGCAGTTGGGAAAACAGACACGTGACCAAGAACTTGGGGAGCCTGAGAAGTTTGTAAGTAGATGCATAAAGACCTATCTGTGAAGCCTGCTCATGTATTAGACATAGTAAAATCTAAACAGTTAAATTATTTATGAGTTTCTGAAATATAAGATGTGGAGTCAACTTTGGACTTCGGCACTAGTGGTCAAAAGGTGGTGTTCTTACCTACTTTTAAGAGATTTGAAATTTTCCTGTCTTGCTTTTTTTTTTACTGACAAATTGGATTCAACTTATGAGTTGATAGAGACATCACAATCTAAGCTTCTGGGTCATACAGGCCATGTTTCCTCTAGATACCATTAATGTAGAAGTCAGCAACTGTTTCAGGCAGTATGAACATCTGATATTCAAAGAGGGAACTCCTCAGCAGGGTTTCACATTTAAGAGATACATAATAACATCCTTGTTTTACAGCCAGAAGCAAGTTTGGTTGCTTTGTACCCGGCTTTAAGATTATCTGTCATCAGTTTTCTAAGGAAATACTCCATCAGGTAAATGATTTCCCTTTCTTTTATGACATATAGCTCTTTGTGGATGTTGGTTCCTAACAGAACACCTATGAATAGAACTATCATAGGCTATTACCTGACAATAAAGAAAGAGTACTAGGTAGCAATTATTCATATTAAAAACATTTTTACAATAAAAAAGTCTTTATCCAAAAACAAAGTACAAGGTAGGTAGGAGGAAACTAAAAATCTCTTTAAATGAACAGTTTTCATAAATATGAGTAGTATTCCATTGTGTAAATATCCCACAGTTGTTTCGTCCACTCATCTACTGATGGACACTTGGGCTACTTCCATATCTTGGTGATTGTAAATAATATTGCAATGAACATAGGGGTGCTTGTGCTCTTTCAAATTAGTGTTTTGTGATCCTTCCAAGACGTGGGACTGCTGGGTCAAAAGGCAGATCCATTTTTAATATTTTGAGGTATCTCCATACTGCTTTCCACAGTGGCTGCACCAGTCTGCATTCCTATCAACAGCGCAAAAGGGTTCCCTTTTCTCCACATCCTCACCAGCACTTGTTTGTTGTTGATTTATTGATGATAGCCATTCTGACAGGTGTGAGATTATTTCTCATTGTAGTTTTAATTTGCATCTCTCTGATGATTACTAACATTGACCATCTTTTCATATGTCCTCTTTGGAGAAGTGTCTATTGGGTCCTTTGCCCATTTTTTAATTAGGGTATTTGTTTATTTGGTATTGAGTTTTGTAAATTTTGAATATTAACCCTTTATCAGATGAATATGTTATCCCATTCTGTGGGTTGTCTTTTTATTTTTCTGTTAATTGCCTTTGCTGTGCAAAAGATTTTTAGTTTGATGTAGACCCATTTGCTTGTTTCTTCTTCTGTTTCCCTTGCTTGAAGAGATATATCTGATAAAATATTGCTGCAAGCAATAAAGCAAGGGACATAAAGGAAAGAATAAACAAGTGGGACCTCATAAAAATAAGAAGCTTCTGCACGGCTAAAGAAAACATCAGCAAAATGAAAAGGGAGCTAACCATATGGGAAAATATATTTGCTAATGATTCATCAGATAGAGGTTTGATCTCCAAGATATATAAAGAACTCACTCGACTCCACTCCAAGAAGACAAATGATCCAATCAAATAATGGGCAAAGGACCTGGGCAGACGCTTTTCCAAGGAGGAGATACAGAGGGCCCAGAGGCATTTGAAAGGATGCTCGGCATCACTAGCCATCACAGAAATGCAGATCAAAACCACCATGAGGTACCACCCCACACCAGTCAGAATGGCCATCATAAACAGATCAACAAACAGGTGCTGGCGAGGCTGTAGAGAAAAGGGAACCCTAGTACACTGTTGGTGGGAATGCAGACTGGTGCAGCCACTGTGGAAAGCAGTGTGGAATTTCCTCAAAAAGCTGAAAATGGAACTGCCTTTTGATCCAGTGATTCCTCTGCTGGGACTATTCCCTAAGAACACCAAAATGCCAATACAAAAGAACCTATTCACCCCAATGTTCATAGCAGCACAATTTACAATTAGCCAAGTGTTGGAAGCAACCTAAATGCCCATCAGTAGATGAGTGGATCAAAAAATTATGGTACATATACACAATGGAATACTACGCAGCAGAAAGAAAAAAAGAACTACTAAACTTCGCGACAGCATGGATGGAACTCGAGAGCATCATGCTAAGCGAAATAAGCCAGGGGGTGAAAGACAAATACCATATGATCTCACCTATAAGCGGAACCTAACCAACAAAACAAAGATGCAAGGAAAATAAGACCAGCAACACTGAAAGGAAAAGAAATCAACAGAGACAAGAGGGAAGGAGGAGGGGGGCAGGGAAAGGGAAGGGAAGGGGCAAGTCAAGGAACATATAGCAAGGACTCATGGACAAAACCAAAGGGGAAGAGCTGAGGGAGGGAAGGAGAGAGGGGGCAAGGGAAAGTGGTGGGGGGGAGGCAGAGACAAATGCATTTAAAAAGTAAATAAATAAATTTAAAAAAAAAGAATTGAGAGTGGGACGTGGGGGTGTGTGGGGCTGGGAATAGTGTTCGTGGTAAAATAGAGACAAATGTATTTGAACAATACAAAATAAATAAAAGACATATGTGATGTAAAAAAAAATAAAATAAAATGACAAATCAAAAAAAAATATTGCTGCAAGCTATAGCTGAGATTTTGCTGCCTATGTTTGCTTCTAGGATTTTTATGGTGTTGAGTCTAACATTTAAGTCTTTAGTCCATTTCGAATTTATTCTTGTGTGTGGTGTAAGGTGGCCTAGTTTCATTTTTATGCACACATCTGTTCAATTTTCCTGCACCATTCATTGAATAACCTATCTTTATCCCTTTGTATGTGCTGACTTCCTCTGTCAAATATTAATTGACAATAAAGGTGTGGGTTTAATTCTGGGCTCTCTATTCTGTTCCATTGAACTATGTGACTGTTTTTATGCCAGTGCCAGGCTGTTTTGATTACTATAGCCTTATAATATAGTTTCCTATTAGGTAGTGTGATTCCTCCAACTTTGTTGTTCTTTCTCAGGATCACTGTTGTTGTGCGGGGCCTTTTGTAGTTTCACATACATTTTTGAAATATTGTTCTAATTCTGTGAAATATGCCATTGTAATCTTGAAAGGAATTACTTGAACCTATAGATTGCTTTGGGTAGTATGGGCATTTTAATGATGTTAATTCTTTCTATCCATGAACACAGCATGTGCTTCCCCTTATCTTCTTCAATTTCTTTCTTCACTGTCTTATAATTTTCTGAGTATAGGTCTTTTATATCCTTGGTTAGGTTTATTGCTAGATATTTTATTCTTTTTGAAGCAATTGTGAATGGGATTATTTTCTAGATTTCCCTTTCTTTTAGTTCATTATTGACACAGGAAAATGCAACTGATTTCTGGATAATAATTTTGTGTCCTGCTACTTTGCTGAATTCATTTATCAGTTCTACTAGTTTCTTGGTGGAATCTTTGGGTTTCTTTATATACAGTATCATGTCATCTGCAAATAAAGACAGTTTACTTCTTCCTTTCCAAATTGGATGCCTTTTATTTCTTCTTCTTGTCCAATTGCTGGGGCTAGGGCTTTAGTTTGATGTTGAATAAGAGAAGTGAAAGCAGACATCCCCATCTTGTTCCCAATCTTAAGAGGAATGTTTTTAGTTTTTGCCTGTTGAATATGATGCTGGCAGTGGGTTTATCATTTATGGCCTTTATTATATTTAGGTATGTTCCCTCTATTCCCCGTGTGTAGAGTTTTGATCATGAATGGGTGCAGTATTTTATCAAATGCCTTTTCTGCATCTATTGATATGATCATGTGATTTTTTTGCCTTCATTTTGTTTATATAGTGAACACGTTCATTGAGTTGTGAATGTTGTATCAACCCTGCATTCCCAGAATAAATCCCACGTGATTATGGGGTATGATCTTTTTGATGTATTGCTGTACTTGATTTGCTAATATTTGTTGAGGCTTTTAGTGTCTATGTTGATCAGGGATATTGGCATATAATAATATTCTTTTTTTGTACTGTCTTTATCTAGTTTTGGAATTAGGATAATGCTGGCCATGTAGAATGAGCTTGGCAGCCTTCGCTACTCTTGAATTTTTTGAAATAGTTGGAGAAGGAGAGGTGTAAGTTCTTCCTGGAATGGTTGGTAAAATTCACCTGTAAAGCCATCCAGTACAGGGCTTCTATTTATTGGGAGCGTTTTGATTACTGCTACAATTTCTGAATAGACTGTAACCTGTCTATTCAGATTCTCTGATTCTTCCTGATTTAGTTTTGGAAGATTGTATGTTTCTAGGAATTTATCCATTTCACCCAGGTTGTCCAGTTTGATGACACATAGTTGTTTATAATATTTTCTTACAATCCTCTGTATTTCCTTGGTGTCAGTTGTTATTTCTCTTCTTTCATTTCTGATTTTATTTATTTGGGTCTTCTCACTTTTTCTCATGATGAGTCTGTTTAAAGGTCTGTCAATCTTGTTTATCTTTTCAAAGAACTAGTTCTTAGATACATTGAATTTTGTATCCTTTTTAGACTCTATTTCATTTTTCTGC